CAGTAAGTACTGACCCTAATTTTTTTATTTTAATCCTATTATACTTGGAAAAATTTTCTCTGTATTTGAATGAAAAAGAAATTATTTTTTTTATTTTTCAAAATATTCGGGGCACTGGGCGAGAGAACGTATATATACGTTTGGACATTTTAGGGGTTAACATATTTACAGATGGGGTTGTAAAAGAAGTAAATGCTAGATTGTTGGGGAGAGGGGAGGGGTTAAATTATGGGGAATCAAATACAAACTGGGAGTTGATGCAGTTACTTTTGCAGATGATACTGTGCTTTTGGAGGATTCTAAAAAAAAGTTGCAAAGGTTAGTGAATGAGTTTGGGAGGGTGTGTAAACGTAGAAAGTTGAAAGTGAATATAGATAAGGGTAAGGTGATGAGGATATCAAACTATTTAGATAAAGAAAAATTGGATATCATATTGGAGGGAGGGAGTATAGAAGTGATTGTTTTCAGATATCTGAGAGTTGACTTGTCAGCGGATGGGTTTATGAAGGATGATGAAGGAAAAAAGGTGGAGACAAAGAACGTTATCCATGGAGGCAAAGAAGGGAATGTACGAGAGTATAGTGGTACCAACACTCTTATATGGGTGTGAAGCTTGGATTGTAAATGCTGCAGCGAGGAGGCAGCTTAAGGCAGTGGAGATGTCGTGATCTAAGGGCAATGTGTGGTGTAAATATTATGCAGAGAATTCATAGTGTGGAAATTAGGAGGAGGTGTGCCGTTAGTAAAAATATTAGTCAGAAGCTGAAGAGGGGCTGTTAAGGTGATTTGGTCATTTAGAGAGAATGGAACAAAGTAGAATGACTTGGAGAGCAAAAAAAATCTGTAGGGAAAGGAAGGCGGGGTAGGAGTCGTCCTCGAAAAGGTTGGAGGGAGGGGGTAAAGGAGGTTTTGTGGGCAAGGGGCTTGGACTTCCAGACACTGCAAGGCTCCAGGCAGACATCAACCAAATCTTTCAATGGGCTGCAGAAAACAATGTGAAGTTCAACGATAAGAAATTTCAATTACCCCGATATGGTAAACATGAGGAAATTAAAACTTCATCAGGGTACAAAAAAAATTCCGGCCACATAGAGCGATAAACCAACGTCAAAGACCTGGGAGTGATCATGTCAGAGGATCTCGCCTTCAAGGACCATAACATTGTATCAATCGCATCTGCTAGAAAAATGACAGGATGGATAATGAGAACCTTCAAAATTAGGGATGCCAAGCCCATGATGACACTCTTCAAGTCGCTTGTTCTATCTAGGCTGGAATATTGCTGCACACTAACAGCACCTTTCAAGGCAGGTGAAATTGCTGACCTAGAAAATGTACAGAGATCCTTCACAGCACGCATAACGGAGATAAAACACCTCAATTACTGAGAGCGCTTGAAGTTCCTGAACCTGTACTCCCTGGAACGCAGGCAGGAGAGATACATGATTATATACACCTGGAAAATCCTAGAGGGACTAGTACCGAACTTGCATATGAAAATCACTCACAACGAAAGCAAAAGACTCGGCAGACAATGCAACATCCCCCCAATGAAAAGCAGGGGTGTCACTAGCACATTAAGAGACAATACAATAAGTGTCAGGGGCCCAAGACTGTTCAACTGCCTCCCAGCATACATAAGGGTGGATTACCAATAGACACCTGGCTGTCTTCAAGCAGGAACTGGACAAGCACCTAAAGTCGGTATCTGACCAGCCTGGCTGTGGTTCGTACGTTGGATTGCGTGCAGCCAGCAGTAGCAGCCTGGTTGATCAGGCTGTGATCCCCCATGAGGCCTGGTCACACACTGGGCCATGGGGGCATTGACCCCCGGAACTCTCTCCAGGTAAACTCTCCAGGTAAGAGTGTGTGAGCGTGTTAGATAGGAATGAATGGAAATAAATGGTTTCTGGGACAAGCTGTTGGAGTGTGAGCAGGGTAATATTTTGTGAAGGGATTCAGGGAAACCGGTTAGCCGGACTTGGGCACTGGAAATGGGAAGTACAATGCCTGCAATTTAAAAGAGGGGTTTAGGATACTGGCAGTTTGGAGGGAAGTCTAAACTGTCGTATCTGAGCGCCTCTGTGAAGACAGTGATTACGTATGAGTGATGGTTAAAGTATGGAATACTGATTAAAGTTTTTTCTTTCTTTTTGGGTTTTTCTTTCTTTTTTGGGGTTTTCTTTCTTTTTGGGTCCCCCTGCCTAGGTGGGAAACTGCCAACATGTTAAAAAAAAAAAAACAGACAGACAGTTACTGAGAACTAAACTGTTTGTAGGTCCTTTTTTTTAACACACTGGCTGTTTCCCACTGAGGTAAGGTCACCTAAAAAGAAAGAAAAACCCAAAAAGAAAGAAAAAAACTTTCATCATCATTCAATACTTTCACCATCATTTATACATAATCACTGTCTTTGCAGAGGTGCTCAGATACAACAGTTTAGATATCACTTCAAACAGCCAATATCCCAAACCCCTTCTTTAAAGTGCAGGCATCATACTTCCCATTTCCAGGACTCAAGTCTTGTTAACTGGTTTTCCTGAAACCCTTCACAAAATGTTACCCCGCTCACACTGCAACAGCTCATCAGGTCATAAAAAGTATTCGGCGCCATTCACTCCTATCTAACACACACACGCATTCTTGCTGGAAGTCCTAGCCCTTTGCCCACAAAACCTCCTGTACCCTCTTCCTCTAACCTTTCATAGGTCAACCCCTACTCAGCCTTCCTTTCCCTACAGATATTTATGCTCTCCAAGTCATTGTACTTTGTTCCATCCTCTCTAAATGGCCAAACCACCTCAATAAATACTCTTCAGCCCTCTGACTAATACTTTTAGTAACTCCACACCTCCTAATATCCACACAACGAATTCTCTGCATAATATTTACACCACACACTTCCCATGGACACGACATATCCACTGCTTCTGACCTCCTCCTTGCTACAGCATTTACAACCCATGCTTCACACCCATTTTCCATGGGGAAGTGGAGCAGAATTCTTCGTCTGTAAGCCATGTGTGTCATAAGAAGCAAATAAAATGCCGGGAGCAAGGGGCTAGTACACCCTTCTCCTGTATAAGTTACTAAAATTAAAAAGAGAAACTTTTGTTTTTCTTTTTGGGCCATCCCACTTCGGTGGGATATGGCCAGTTTGTTGAAAGAAGCAGCAGCTTCACACCCATATAAGAGTGTTGGTACCACTATACTCTCATACATTCCCTTCTTTGCCTCCATGGATAACGTTTTTTTTTTGTCTCCACAGATACCTCAACGCACCACTCCCCTTTTTTCCTTCATCAATTCTATGGGGATCAACTGAAGCAACACTTCTAAAGCCAATAATAACCCAACAAAAAGCCGCAGTAAGAATAATCACGCAATCCAATCCCAGGCAACACACCCTTTCCCCTACTCTTCATAGATCTAAACTTACTCACTGTTCAGAACATCCACCCTTACTACTGTGGAACCTACACATACAGAACTTTAAATTCTAACATTAACCATGACCTAAAACACTTTCTTGATAGTTGTGACAGGACCCATAGGCATAACACCAGACATAAACATCTCTATGACATTCCCCGTGTCCGGCTAAACCTATACAAAAATTCAATGTACTACATAAAAGGGCCTAAAATCTGTAATACCCTACCTGAAAACTCTAGAACTGCAGACACATTCATCACTTTCAAAACTAGCATTAGAAAACATCTTATCTCCCTGACACACCCCACCATCAGCTAACTACATGAAAACTGCCTATTCTCTTGTATCATACACACATAAAAAACAACCTAGACCTCCTCTCGATATCTGTGATTCCCCACAATTTGCACCTGCACTCACCCAGTTGACTATAAACATAGAAATATGTAATACAACTATTACCTAACGAATCTTAACTAGTCATAAGTTTGCCTGTGATACTCCAACGTAAGAGCTTCAATGGAAACTATGTATTGTACCAAAACAAAACCATTCACATTACTAAATTTATGAACTGTAATGCAGTTACTTAGCCTTAATACCAATATGCTCCTTAATCTGTACGAATATGGAGTTTTGAATTAATCTTAGTCTGCCCGAAATGCCTAGTTATGCTAGGTGTGATAGTGGCCCTCTCTGTAATTAGTTTTATATAATATGTAAACCACACAATATCCTATAATATGTAAACCCCACATTGTAATCTTCATAGAGAATAAACTTGATTAGATCTTTCATAAACCCAACTGTTGACAAGTCAAGTCCCAAATATCTGAACACATTCACTTCTTCCATACTCCCTCTTTCCAATGTGATATCCAAATTTTCTTTATCTGAATCGTTTGATACCCTCATCACCTTACTCTTATCTATGTTCACTTTTAACTTTCTATCTTTACATGTGTATGCTTAATTATGACTGTTATTATTATTATTACTATTATTGTTATTAGTACATTATCAGGGAAGCACTAATAAGGTATGATCTGAGAAACTGGAGAATAGATTCAATTCCTTGGATCAAGAGCCCTTCACCTCCCTTGAGGAATTAGTTACAGCTATGCTCTGGGCTACATAATAATAATGATTTAAATTACATACAGCACACCCAGTGGCTATTGAAGGAAAAAAAGAAGGATGGTGCCTTGATGCCAATATAGGCTCTTGATCCAAGGGATTGGATCTGATTGAATCCCATTTCCCAAGGCTTTTTACCATCTTATCCCTATGGGCTCAGTGCTCCTCCCAAGAAATAAATAAGTAAAATAAACATTTAAAGAAAGAGCATGGGAGACCTGAAACATGGTGGCAGAGCTGATCAAGTCATGTGACTGCAAACTATCTATAGAACTGTTTACTGACAGAAACAGTGATAAGATTAAAATTATTAGAATGTTGGTGATGGCAGTAGCAGTGGGAAGAGGATTGTGGGGATATGTCTTAAAACTTTATAATACTGCAAATATAGCCATGAACAAGTCACTCATACACATCATAACACTCACATTGTGTGTTTCTCCAGAAGGCAAGTGAATCTCAAAGCCCGTTAGAAGATCAAAATTATTTTCCTCAACTGAAAAGCCAAGCTGTGATCCAATCTCAAATCTGCAAAAGAATAAGCAAAATTCCTGCAGTACAGCTGAAACCCCCAGTTCATGAGAGTAACATTCCTAGAGGTCTTATGAGTCTGGGATTTGTGGCTAATACAATTCTTTTTTAACACAACCATTTCCCACCAAAGTAGGGTGACTCAAAAAAAAGAAATAGGTTCATGTCATTCATTCAATCACAGTCCTGCCAGAAGTATGCCAATATCACAGCTCAGATAACTCTCTCAGCTGAAGAATCCCCATCCCTTCATTAGTGTAAGCACTGTACTTCCCACCTCCAAGACTCAGGTCAGGCAAACCAGTTTCCCTGAATCTCTTCATAAATATTGCCTTGATCACACCTCAACAGCATATCAAATCATAAAAACCACTTGCCTTCACTCATTTCTAACTAATATGCTCTCACAAGCCCATTGGATGTCCAAACCACTAGCACTCAAAACTTTCCTTACCCCATCCCTCCATCTCTTCCTCAATGACCCCCTAACCCTCCTCACCTCTACTGCAGATTTAGATACCCTCCTAGCCATTCTATTTTACTCCCTTTCTTTATGTCCAAATTTTCTCAACAAACATTCTTTCACCCCTAAAATAATACTTTTGGTAACCTCATACCTTCTCCTAATCTCCAGGCTGCAAATTCTCTGCATAATATTCACACTATACATTGCCCTCAACCATGACATTTCCACTGCTTCCAGCCTCCTGCAAGTCTAGATCTGTACTGACTCAGCTACAGAGTGTACAAAAAAATTGCCTTAACACCTCCACTACTGAAAAAAATCTTTGTCCTTTACACTCATTGCACATTTAGGTAAATAAACACTAATACCAACGTCACAGCTCTACCACTTTCTTTCTACCACACAATTCTCTAAGGAAAACATTTATTCACCTTCTTTCATTTCTAAGATATTCAGCTTTCATTCCTAACCCCAACAAATATTCCTTTCCTAACATGTGTATTACATGCACTTTCAAATAACCCTGTTTTATGCATGAGAGGCATAACCAGTCCCCCTTACTCTTGGCACACTGATTGCCTGGGCATACATAGCTAAGTGGCAATTATTCTAATTCATTTTTCTGCATGGAATTGAAAGGAAAAACCCTCAGACATTAGAGCTAATTAAAGGAACAGCTAAAATATATTTATATCTCTACTTACTTAGAGTTGTCAGGGAGCAGCAAGATATAGGAGATCCAATGGACATCTCCTACCTTCCTTCCAAGTACAACTTTCAGCTCAGACTCCCATGTCCATGTCAATACAGATAATAATAACCTGAAAAGAGTCAATGGTGCCACTCACTCCTTTTTGTATAAATATATCAGCAATTTATAATATGATAAGAATGAGGTAATAATAATAATAATAATAATAATAATAATAATACATCTTTATTTCTACAAATACATGTAGAAGGTATACAGGCCTAGCTGACATCAACGACATACTACTACTATATAGAAAGCTGCTTGTTATGCAGAGCATTTCGGGCAAATTAGGTCAGTTTTGTTCCAGGATGCGACCCACACCAATCAACTAACACCCAGGTACCCATTTTATAATGATGGGTGAACATGGACAGCAGGTATCTGATGGAAACATGTCCCTAATGTTTTCCAGCTGTACCAGAGGAGATTCGAACTCCGGATCTCAGTGTGTGAACTGAGTGTGAGTGCGATAGCTTGCCCAGACACTGAGCAACTGCAAAATATCAGCTTTCATTTTTTAATTAATTTGCCAAAATACACGTAATTGTATTGGGTTGTAAATGCTGTAGCGAGGAGGTGGTTGGTGGAGGTGGACATGTCCTGTCTAAGGGCAATGTGTGGTGTAAACATTATACAGAGAATTCGGAGTGTGGAAATTACGAGAAGGTGTGGAGTTAATAAAAGTATTAGTCAGAGGGCTGAAGAGGGGTTGTTGAGGTGGTTTGGTCATTTAGAGAGAATGGATCAAAGTAGAATGACATGGAGAGCGTATAAATCTGTAGGGGAAGGAAGGAGGGGTAGGGGTCATCCTTGAAAAGGTTGGAGGGAGGGGGTAAAGGAGGTTTTGTGAGTGAGGGGCTTGGACTTCCAGCAAGTATGCGTGAGCATGTTAGATAGGAGTGAATGGAGACGAATGGTATTTGGGACCTGACGAGCTGTTGGAGTGTGAGCAGGGTAATATTTAGTGAAGGGATTCAGGGAAACCGGTTATTTTTATATAGTCGGACTTGAGTACTGGAAATGGGAAGTACAATGCCTGCACTTTAAAGGAGGGGTTGGGATATTGGCAGTTTAGAGGGATATGTTGTACAGTGGACTCCCAAGTTTCGGCAGCATTGACTTTCATGAAATTCGACTTTTGGCAAGTTTTTTTGGGCAAAATTTGGCCTCGAGTTTCGTGATTAGACTCATGATTTGGCGATCATCCGGTACCCGTCCGCCTGTCATCGCGCACACAAAGCCAGTCTCCCACGCCATTCACGCTCAGTGTGCCATTGTTTACCAACACGTGACCATCACCCCGCGGGTTCATACGTAATAATCCATTGTTTTTTGTGATTGCAACTGCTAAGTAAGTCACCATGGGCCCAAGGAAAGCTAGTGCAAGCCCTTTGGTAAAGAAAGCGAAGAACACGATCCGGAGGGATTTTGAAGGGTTTGAGGCAGACCCTGACCCTGCTGACCCTCTGCCTGTTGTGGCATTGGGCAAGTCCATGGGGTTGGAGGTGAGTGACGGGGATGTGGAAGAGTTGGTGGAGGACCACAGGGAAGAGCTAACCACTGACAAACTGCAAGAGCTTCAACTGGAACAGCATCAGACCACAGCTGAGGAACTTGCTTCAGAGGAGGAGGAAAAGAGAGTGAAGGAGGTGCCTTCTTCGGTGATTAAGGACATGTGTTCAAAGTGGAATGAGTTGCAAAGTTTTGTTGAAAAGTATCACCCTGACCAAGCTGAAACAAGCCATATCTGCAACATGTTCAGTGACAAAACCTTGTCCCACTTCAGGGAAATCATAAAGAAATGCCAGAAACAGACCTCTCTGGACAGATATTTTGTGCGACAGGGGTCCAGTGACTCTCAAGTTGTTCCCAGTGGCATTAGAAGAAGAAGGGAAGTAACCCCAGAAAAGGACTACCTGAAGTCCTAATGAAAGGAGATTCTCCTTCCAAACAATAGTGTACACCTTCCTCCTATCCCCTCCTCCCGTCTTCCATCCACCCAGAAGTCTTCAGTCAAGATAAGTGTAATGTTGTTATTAATTTTTATATGCATGTACTTGATTTCTGATTGTTTTCAGTATGTAAATCTTTATTTAATTTGAAAAAAAAAAAAATATTTTAATATTTTTGGGTGTCTGGAACGGATTAATTTTATTTCCATTATTTCTTAAGGGGAAAATGGTTTCGAGTTTCGTGAATTTCGACTTTCGGCAGGCTCTCTGGAATGGATTAATCACGAAACTCGGGGGGTCCACTGTATATCTTTATACATATATGCTTCTAAACTGTTGTGTTCTGGGCACCTCTGTAAAAACAGTGATTATGTATGAGTGAGATGAAAATATTTTCTTTTAGGGGATTTTCTTTTTGGGTCACCCTGCCTCGGTGGGAGAGGGCCAACTAGTTGAGAGAAAAAAACAAAACATGTAATTGTTTAACATTTACATGGCTATTACTTACTACCTCCTCTTTGATCCCATTTAATGGTCTTAATTTCAATTGGCTGTTTATCGTTCCAATGTGCTTCAAGTAAAGTGTCTTCTTCAGTAAACATAGTCTGGTACTTCATGGTGCCTTTTTTCTGCTCACCTGACATTTGTAGGTTCACTTTCATCTCCTTTAGATCTATGGTAATTCTCAGGGCTGGCATGTCCCTGACCATCAACCCTACTGGAGCATAAGCTTCATCTCTTCTAAGCAAGCAGAAGGTAGCTTTTAACACCAGATAGCCATACAGCAGTTTCTTGCAGTGCACTCCAGATGCCACTGAACATGAGAGTTCATGCTGGCTGTTTGACACATTAGGTGGTTCAGGTAATTCTGTGAACATGTACAACATCCTTCTCTTTCTTACTCTCTTTGTAGCAAAGAAATTAACATGACACTCACTGTGTACTACCAGCAAGTCCTCATTCCCTCAATTCCTTCTTACCCCCCCAATTCTCTCTATTTTTATTAACCCCTTCATTGTCCAAGGCCCAAATCTGAAGTGGTGCCCCAGTGTCTAAGAATTTAAAAAAAAAAAATTTATTATTTTTTCTTATGAAATGGTAGAGAATCTTTTTGTGAAGGTAATAAAACAAAAAGTACGAAATTTGATGGAAAATTGACGAAATTATGCTCTCGCGAATTTTGATGTGTCAGTGATATTTACGAATCGGCAATTTTGCCGACTTTGGCTCCCAGTTTAGGCCAATTATATTATTCCAGTCAACCAAATTCTTAGCTATTTCATTAGTATTACTTCTATTCTATCGATTGAGCACAAGAAATCGCCAAGTCAACTGTTTCAACTACAAAATAAAGTGATCGGAAATTGTTAATTTGGCCAATTTAACACAATTTCAAAATATTCCAATTTCAAAATGGGGTCCAGAATAAACAATGTAGGTATTCCTGGAACTAAACTAACTTTCCTCTGTTCATTAATTATGTTTTGAGGCTTTACAAATAAATTCCATTTTGATTTTTTATTCACATAATGAATTTTTATTCACACCAAAAAATAGAAGATTTACTGTTATGCAATACTGTAATAATTGTATAAATATCATCACCATATTTGTGAATGTATATTAGACCCACCAGCTGGTGTGTATTAGATGTGTGAGGTCGTTTGTTTATTCTTGAATATCGGCAAAAATTTAACATTTCCTCTACTTTGAGCTCAGTTTCAAGCCATTTCCAGTGCTAAAACCAATCAAAATCATCTCTATTTCTGTAATATGTCTTCCATTCTATCAAATGAGACCAAAAAATCGCAAATACAACTATAAAAAACATACGAGAAAACACTGCAAAGTCGCTGTTTTAATCGAAAAATCATGATTTCAATTTTTTTTCTCTCATTATACACAGTGTGCTGCAGGATCTGTTTTATGTGGTGCACACATACCACATAGATGTATTCTCTCATATCTAGGCCCAAATGTACCACTCACAGTTTATCAGAGTGACCTGAGCTCATGACGTAGATCTACGGTTTGGACCCTGAACGTAAAGCCGTAGATCTACGGGACGGACCCTGAAAGGGTTAAAGAAGTGAATATGTTATTCACTAAAAATAATGAAAGATAAGTAACCTTAATACTTATTAACCCGTAAACGGTCCAAGCAGATCTACGTTCACATGTGTAGTGCTACAAAAGTAGATCTACGTTTTTTTACATATTTTCAAATATAACAAAAAAAAAGTAGATCAAAGTTTTTTTACACATTTTCAAATTAAAAAAACAAAAAGATCTACTTTTTTTACATACTTTCAAATGTTGAAAAAACGTATATATACGTTTGGACCGTTTACGGGTTAAAATATTATACTTTGTATATTTTTACATGAATAACACATGAAACCCCATGTATACTGCTTAATACCAGTTACCCTTGAACACCCTCCCTTCCCCTCAATCTTTCTTCCTTCTCTCACAAATGATGTAAGCTTTGAAGCCATCAAGTATGATATCTAGTAGGTTGATATGGTTGAGTTAATGTAATCCAATGGAGAAAAGTTTTTTAGAGTGGATGAAGGATATACAGAAGACTCTCATATCACACATGTTAAATTCCTGAAACTGGCCCATGTAAAATCAGTATATTTAATCTTTGAGGGTCCAGACCCCTCATCTGAAAATTCCTCACAGAGTCCAAGAATTTAAAAAAAAAAAAAAAAAAATTAGTTTTTCTTATGAAATGGTAGAGAATCTTTTTCTGAAAGTAATAAAACAAAAAATACGAAATTTGATAAAAAACTGACGAAATTACACTCTCGCAAGTTTTGCTGTGTCAACGATATTTATGCATCAGCGATTTACCCCACTTTGAGTCCTATTTTCGGCCAATTAGACCAAATTCTTAGCTATTTTGCTAGTATGTTTTCCATTTTATCTTTGAGCACAAGAAATCACCCAATCACTTATTTCAACTACCCAATAAAGTGATTGGAAATTGGTAATTTGACCAATTTCACAAAAGTTCAAAATATTCCAATTTCAAAATAGGGTCCAGAATAAACAATATAGGCATTCCTGGCACTAAAATAACATCTCCTCTGTTTATTAGTTATATTTCCAGGCTTTACAGATGAATTCCATTTTGATTTTTTATTCACATAAAGAATTTTTATTCACACCAAAAAAATAGAACATTTACTGTCATGCAATATTGTAATAATTGTATAAATAATATCAGCATATTCGTGAATGCACATCAGACCCACCAGCTGATGTGTATTGAACGCGTGATGTCATTTATTTACTCATGAACATCGGCAAAAATCAAACATTTCTGCTACTTTGAGCTCAATTTCGAGCTATTTTTAGGACTAAAACCAATCAAAATCATCTCTGTTTCTGTATTATATCCTCCATTCTATCAAACGAGACCAAGAAGCCACGAATACAACAGTAAAAACCATACAAAAATACACCACAAAGTCGCTGTTTTAATCCGAAAACATGGTCGCAGGATAGATAGGAGTGAATGGAGACAAATGTTAGATAGGAGTGAATGGAGATGAATGGTATTTGAGACCTGACGAACTGCTGGAGTGTGAGCAGGGTAAAATTTAGTGAAGGGGCTTGGACTTCCAGCAAGCGTGCGTGAGCGTGTTAGATAGGAGTGAATGGAGACGAATGGTACTTGGGACCTGACGATCTGTTGGAGTGTGAGCAGGGTAATATTTAGTGAAGGGATTCAGGGAAACCGGTTATTTTCATATAATCGGACTTGAGTCCTGGAAATGGGAAGTACAATGCCTGCACTTTAAAGGAGGGGTTTGGGATATTGGCAGTTTGGAGGGATATGTTGTGTATCTTTATATGTTTATGCTTCTAGACTGTTGTATTCTGAGCACCTCTGCAAAAACAGTGATAATGTGCGAGTGTGGTGAAAGTGTTGAATGATGATGAAAGTATTTTCTTTTTGGGGATTTTCTTTCTTTTTTGGGTCACCCTGCCTCGGTGGGAGACGGCCGACTTGTTGAAAAAAAAAAAAAAAAAAAAAAATTCAGGGAAACCGGTTATTTTTATATAGCCGGACTCGAGTACTGGAAATGGGAAGTACGTACAATGCCTGCACCAGAATAAACAATATAGGCATTCCTGGTACTAAAATAACATCTCCTCTGTTTATTAGATATGTTTCCAGGCTTTACAGATGAATTCCATTTTGATTTTTTATTGACAAAGAATTTTTATTCACACCAAAAAAATAGAAGATTTTACTGTCATGCAATATTGTAATAATTGTATAAATAATATCAGCACATTCGTGAATGCACATCAGACCCACCAGTTAATGTGTATTGAACGTGTGATGTCATCTGTTCACTCATGAACATCAGCAAAAATCAAACATTTCTGCTACTTTGAGCTCAATTTCAAGCTATTTTTAGGACAAAAACCAATCAAAATAATCTCTATTTCTGTAATATATCCTCCATTCTATCAAAGGAGACCAAGAAGCCACGAATACAACCGTAAAAATTGTACAAAATTACACCGCAAAGTCACTGTTTTAGTCCAAAATCATGGTCACATTTTTTTCTCATTATGTATTGCATACTACAGGATTTGTTTTATATGGTGCACACTTACCACATAGATGCATTCTCTCATCTAGGCCCAAATTTACTGCTCACAACTTATCAGAGTGAGCTGAGCTCATGACGTAGTACTATGGCTTGGACCCTGGCTTCAAAGCCATAGAACTACGGGACAGACCCTCAAAGGGTTAAAGAGGACAAATAGGGATGGTGAAAGTGTTGAGTGACAGTGAAAGTGTTACTTTTTTTTTGGGGTCACCCTGCCTCAGTGGGAGATGGCCAGCATGTTGTAAAAAAAAATAGGGATGCATTCCTGACATCACTAAAAAAAGGTAAATAATTTTTGATACCTTACAGTGTAGCTGTCATTGCTTGTTCATCTAGAAATATGAGGAGAGAGCAAATAATCCCTATACACTACCTGTACAAACATATGACAGGCAGTATCATGTACCAACATCTTTACCTACCACTAAGGAATGGGAGAGGCCACTGTGGACTCAGTTTAGTATGTATTCTTCCTACAGAAAATGGGCAGAGCATTCCTTCCATAGAAAATAGGCAGGGCTCAATCCAGTAGAGATGAGGTGGTACTTGAAATCCCCACAATCAACTGTACTTCAGTCAAGCCTATACCTGTGACCAGTTTTGAGTTTTCCTACTCCTGCAACTCAGCCTGTGGCCAGGTTTTTCTGGTGTTTGCTTGGTCAACCAGACTGTTGTTGTTAGTGGCCAGTGGTCCCTATATCCATCACAATGTAACTGATCTAGCACTAAACATTATTATGAAGACAACTGCCCTTTTTAAACCTTTCAAACCATTCAGCACTAAGTGTATACCACTGTGAAGGTTCACCTCCCATCTCTCACAGTTTTATTCAAATTCAAATTATTTATTTAAAATCATTATACAAAATATGCAAGAATTAGAAAGCCTACATGATGCACAGCATTTCAGGCAAACTTAAGACTAGTATTAAGAATAACTATTTTTTTATCCTACAGTAGGAAAGGGCTTGTGCCATATTACCAGAGAACTAAGTGTGGCCCCTTTCTTTCCCAATATTCAGAAGCTATCCTGTCCTATTTAGTCATATTACCTTCTTTGTCATTCTTTGTAAGGCAGTCACAATCTACATTACTCATTGCACAAGCTTTAATTTTCTTCTGATTGTCTCTAAATTATGAATAATTGACTCTCTCAGACCAAGAGTGGGCATAACTTGAGTTTCTGCTGATTTTCCTGTCTTACAGAGTGTAATAACAAGCTTTTTAGCACACAATGAATTTTTGGTTGAATTTTTTTCAATAGCATTAATACAAAAATGCACAATTTGATTTCATGTTAATCAAGGGTTTACTGTAATATTAAGGAATCAGGTTGAGGAAAACTGAATATCTGGGACTTGTCAAACATTTACCGATCCCTCAAAACAGCCAATTTTCTTTTAACTGTGTGGTTCAAACACAGCTGGTTGTATAAAATATCTGGAGTTATTAAAGAAGAAATATACTAAAGCAAAACTACTTCCCGGTAAAAGTAGGTCTTAGACAGGGATGTGTAATGTCACCATGGTTGTTTAATAAATTTAAAGATGGGATTGTAAAAGAAGTAAATGCTAGGGTGTTCAGGAGAGGGGTGGGATTAAATTATGGGGAATCAAATACAAAATGGGAATTGACACAGTTACTTTTTGCTGATGATACTGTGCTTATGGGAGATTCTAAAGAAAAATTGCAAAGGTTAGTGGATGAGTTTGGGAGTATGTGTAAAGGTAGAAAGTTGAAAGTGAACATAGAAAAGAGTAAGGTGATGAGGGTATCAAATGATTTAGATAAAGAAAAATTGGATATCAAATTGGGGAGGAGGAGTATGGAAGAAGTGAATGTTTTCAGATACTTGGGAGTTGACGTGTCGGCGGATGGATTTATGAAGGATGAGGTTAATCACAGAATTGATGAAGGAAAAAAGGTGAGTGGTGCGTTGAGGTATATGCGGAGACAAAAAACGTTATCTATGGAGGCAAAGAAGAGAATGTATGAAAGTATAGTAGTACCAACACTCTTATATGGGTGTGAAGCTTGGGTTGTGAATGCAGCAGCGAGGAGGCGGTTAGAGGCAGTGGAGATGTCCTGTCTAAGGGCAATGTGTGGTGTAAATATTATGCAGAAAATTCGGAATGTGGAAATTAAGAGATGTGGAGTTAATAAAAGTATTAGTCAGAGGGCTGAAGAGGGGTTGTTGAGGTGGTTTGGTCATTTAGAGAGAATGGATCAAAGTAGAATGACATGGAGAGCATTAAATCTGTAGGAGAAGGAAGGCGGGGTAGGGGTCGTCCTCGAAAAGGTTGGAAGGAAGGGGTAAAGGAGGTTTTGTGGGCGAGGGGCTTAGACTTCCAGCAGGTGTGCATGAGCATGTTCGATAGGAGTGAATGGAGACGAATGGTATTTGGGACCTGACGATCTGTTGGAGTGTGAGCAGGGTAATATTTAGTGAAGGGATTCAGGGAAACCGGTTATTTTTATATAGCCGACTTGAGTCCTGGAAATGGGAAGTACAATGCCTGCACTCTAAAGGAGGGGTTTCGGGATATTAGCAGTTTGGAGGGATATGTTGTGTATCTTTATACATATATGCTTCTAAACTGTTGTGTTCTGAGCACCTCTGCAAAAACACTGAATATGTGTGAGTGAGGTGAAAGTGTTGAATGATGATGAAAGTATTTTCTTTTTGGGGATTTTCTTTCTTTTTGGGTTGCCCTGCCTCGGTGGGAGACAGCCGACTTGTTGAAAAAAAAAAAAAAAAAACTGTGCAAATAGAAGTATATAGTATGAAACATATGTAAAATTCCACAAATACAGAAATTTTGATTGAGCCATGGTAGGATAATACCTTTAAGCAATTACAATTAAAAGAAATTAGGGGACTTAGGAAAAGTGGCTTCTTGAACTATAGTTTTAGAAGTTGGGAAGTATATCACTGTACCTGCACTCTGGAAGTGGGGGGTGAGGCTGATGTCTGGTGTACAAACATACATGAAAAATGTCAACCAGATTTAAAAAAAAAATGTATAACAGCAATAAAATTCTCATTGCCTTCAAAATTAAAAACCATGAAATTGAACAATGTGCCATGGCCATAGCAATTTTCCTACCGTATTTCAAGAGCCCTTCCATCTCTTGGCAAATGGAGAAGAGATGAGAAGGTTAGAGTCCTGGAGGCATCTTCCCGTGCATCCCATGCTAGTTCCCCATCAACAGATCCACCAGTACAACTATCATGGTCAAGGGCAAATTTACCTGAAAACACATTCAGAGGTAAGATAATGAGGAGAAAAGGATACCAAATTTAAAGCATGCTCTGGGAGTTGCCTTTAGTAACTTGTGTGGCCATTCTTCTAATGATCAACATATACAAGAGGTTGTCCAACTTACAAATTCCCCAAATTACACACATCAGTATAGCACTTACAAGCACAACAACAGGGATCAATTTAATCTTTTCTTCTTCTTACAACAAACCAGCCGTATCCCACCGAGGCAGGGCGGCCCAAAAGGAAAAATGAAAGTTTCTCCATTTAAATTTAGTAATATATACATGTATACAGTGGACCCCCAATTTCATAGTCATCAGATTTCATAATAGTATATTCGGAAAACAGTCATTCGTCCCGAACGTGTCCGTGCGGCCCAAGCCGCCCGACACGCTATTTACAGCCAGTGTGCCATTGTTTATCAGCCAGTGACCATCACCCCACGTGTTTATACGATACATTCATATTATTCCAGTCTTTCTAATGCTTCTAACTGCTAAATATGCCACCATGGGCCCAAAGGAAGCTTCTAGTACCAGCCCTTTGGTAAAGATGAGGAACACTATAGAATTCAAGAAAGACATCATTGCAAAATATGAAAGTGGAATACGTGTGGCAGAGCTTGCCAGGTTGTATAACAAACCCCATACAACCATCGCCTCTATCGTGGCCAAGAAAAAGGAAATCAAGGAAGCTGCTGTTGCAAAAGGTGCAAATATGCTTATAAAACAGAGATCTGTAAGATCTGGATGTGGAGACTTTGTTATTAGTGTGGATCAATGAGAAACAATTATCAGAAGATAATGTTATGCATGTGGATCTTGTAAAGAAAATGCCTGGAACTAGTACTGATGTTAGCAAATATAAGGCCAGCAAAGGCTGGTTTGAGAGATTTAAGAAGAGCAGTGGCATACACAGTGTGGTAAAGTATGGCGATGCTGCAAGTTCTGACAAATTGCAGCTGAAAAATATGTTCAGGAATTCAAGGGGTACATAGAGGCTGAACAATTCAAACCCCAACAAGTGTTCAATTGTGACGAAACAGGCCTGTTTTGGAAGAAAATGCCAAAGAGGTCCTACATCACGCAGGAGGAAAAGGCACTCCCAGGACACGCCTATGAAAGACAGACTAACTTTCATGTTCTGTAGTAATGCTAGTGGGGATTTTAAAGTGAAGCCTTTACTGGTGTATCACTCTGAAACTCCCAGAGTGTTCAAGAAAAACAGTGTCACCAAGAGTAAACTGTGTGTTATGTGGAAGGCAAACAGTAAGGCATGGGTCATGAGGGACATCTTCCTTGATTGGTTCAATGAAGTGTTTGGCCCCATTATTATTATAATCAAAAAGAAGCGCTAAGCCACAAGGGCTATACAGCATGTTTGGCCCCAGTGTGAAGAAATACCTCCTGGAAAATAAATTGGAACTCAAATGCCTCCTGGTAATGGACAATGTACCTGCTCATCCTCTAGACTTGGAAGAGCAAATGGTGAAGGAGTTTCATTTTATCATAGTGAAGTTCTTGCCCCCTAATACCACTCCTCTCATCCAGCCCATGGACCAGGAGATCATTTCAAACTTCAAAAAACTGTACACCAAAAGCAATGTTTCAAAGGCACTTTGATGTGACCTCAGACACTCACTTGACCCTAAGAAAGTTTCGGAAAGAGCACTTCAATATCCTCCACTGCATAAACTTATAGGTAAGGCTTGGGAGAGAGTGACTTCCAGAACTTTAAACTCTGCTTGGAGAAAATTGTGGCCAAAATGTGTCCAAGAGAGGGATTTTGAAGAGTTTGGGGGTGACCCTGACAAGCTTATGGCAATTGTGTTAAGTATTTTGGCATTGGGGACTTCCATGGGGTTGGATGTGAGTGGCGAGGATGTGGAAGAGTTGGTGGAGGACCACAATGAAGAGCTAACCACTGAAGAGCTGCAAGACCTTCATCTGCAACAGCAACAGACCACAGCTCAGGAAATTGCTTCAGAGGAGGAAGAAGGTGCCTTCTTTAAAGATGAAGGACAATCGTGTAAAGTGGAGTGAGGTGCAAACATTTATGGATGAACATCACCTTGACAAAGCTGTTGCAGGCCATGTTGGGAACATGTACAATGACAATGTTGTGTCCCATTTTAGGGAACTATTAAAGAAATGCCAGATACAGACCTCTCTGGAACACTTTTTTGAGCGACAGGGGTCCAGTGACTCTCAAGCTGGTCCTAGTGGCATTAAAAAACAAAAAAGGGAAGTAACCCCAGAAAAGGACTTGGTACCTGAAGTCATTATGGAAGGGGATTCCTGTTCCAAACAATAGTACACCTCCATCCTCTCCCCTCCTCCCATCTCATCACTCATCAACAAATCTTCAATAAAGTTAAGTGTCATTTTATTGTTTAATTCTGCATGCCTCATTGTTTTCTGTGTCGGCAAGTGTATATTTCATGTAAAAAAATTTATTATTTTTAATACTTTTGGGTGTCTGAAATGGATTAATTGGATTTACATTATTTCTTATGGGGAAAATAAATTCGGAAATTGTCAGATTTGGGTTTAGTCACTCTCTCAGGAACGAATTAATTACGATAACTGGGGGTCCACTGTACAGGAGAAGGGGTCAATATCCCCCTTTCTCCTGGTATTTTAGTTGCCTCTTACAACACACATGGCTTACAGAGGAAGAAGTCTGTTGTTCCACTTCCCCATGGAGATAAGAGAAAATAAACAAGAACTAGTAAGAAAAACTAGGTAGTAGGTTGGTAGACAGCAACCACCCAGGGAGGTACTACCATCCTGCCAAGTGAGTGTAAAACAGAAACCTGTAATTGTTTTACATGATGGTAGGATTGCTGGTGTCTTTTTTCTGTCTCATAGACACGCAAGATTTCAGGTACATCTTGCTACTTCTACCTACACTTATGTCACACTACACATACATGTACAAGCATATATATACACACCCCTCTGGATTTTCTGCTATTTTCTTTCTAGTTCTTGTTCTTGTTTATTTCCTCTTACCTCCATGGGGAAGTGGAACAGAATTCTTCCTCCGTAAGCCATGCGTGTTGTAAGAGGAGACTAAAATGCCGGGAGCGAGGGGCTAGTAACCCCTTCTCCTGTATTTATTACTAAATGTAAAAGGAGAAACTTTCATTTTTCCTCTTGGGCCACCCCGCCTCAGTGGGATACGGCCAGTGTGTTGAAAGAAAGAAACATGCAAGATTTCAGGTATGTCTTGCTACTTCTACTTACACTTAGGTCACACTACACATACATGTACAAGCATATATATATATACACCCCTCTGGGTTTTCTGCTATTTTCTTTCTAGTTCTTGTTTATTTCCTCTTATTTCCATGGGGAAGTGGAACAGAATTCTTCCTCCATAAGCCATGCGTGTTGTAAGAGGCAACTAAAATGCCGGGGGAAAGGGGCTAGTAACCCCTTCTCTTGTATAAATAACTAAATTTAAAAAGAGAAACTTTCGTTTTTCTTTTTGGGCCACCCTGCCTCGGTGGGATATGGCTGGTTTGTTGAAAGAAAGAAGTAGTAAGAAATTAGAAGAAAACCCAAAGGGGTTTGTATATATATATGCTTGTACATGCAAGTGTAGTGTGATGTAAGTGTAAGCAGAAGTAGCAAGATGTACCTGAAATTTTGAATGTTTATGAGACAAAAAAAAGACACTAGCAATCCTATCATGTAAAACAATTACAGGCTTCCGTTTTACACTCACTTGCCAAGACAGTAGTCCCTCCCTGGGCAGTTGCTGTCTACCAACCTACTATCTAGAAATTTAATCTTTTACAACCATCAAACCATTATATGAATACTGTGTGTGTGAAAACCCAAGAATGTAACTTGTCTGTAAGAAGGGAGTACTCCTGCACCATATTAAGATAAAGGTATGACTATCAATTAATGCTTGTAAAACTTACATTCACTTTATTTTATTAGCACCTACCACCACACATTTGTACTGTATTTAATGTATTGTAATAATTTTATTATAGGTATCATATCTGAGGGCAATGTGTGGTGTGAATATTATGCAGAGAATTTGGAGCCTGGGATGAGGAGGTGTGGGGTTACTAAGAGTATTATTCAGAAAGCTGAAGAGGGGTTGTTGAAGTGGTTTGGACATTTAAGAGAGGATGGAACAAAACAGGATGACTTTGAGGGTGTATAAATCTGTAGTGGAAGGAAGGCCATAGAGGTCATCCTAGGAAAGGTTGGAGGGAGGAGGGGTAAAGGGATTTAGACATCCAGCAACCATGTGTGATCAGGTTAGATAGGAGTGAGTAGAGGCAAGTGGTTTTTATGACTTAACATGCTGCTGGAGTGTGAGCAAGGTAACATTCATGAAGGGATTTAGAGAAATTGGTTAGCCAGATTAGAGTCCTGGAAGTGTGTAACACAGTGCCTGCACTCAAAATAACAGATAAAAGATGCTTCAGTTCAGAGGATTACTTTTGGCAAACCAGCTATTAAATGAGTGATGGTGAATGTGTTTCTATTTTTTATTCACTCTAGTTTAGTTGAGATGATCAATGTGTAAAAAAAAGCATTAAACTTAACTTAATTACAAGTTAAAATAAACGGATTAAACTTGAAAATGAAAATGAAAATAAAAATGTTTATTTCCTTGCAAAGCTTACTATGTGTAGTTTACATATTACAAAATATTAATTACAAAGAAAGCCACTAGCATGCCAAGGCATTTCGGGCAGACTAATCCTAATTCTTCCTGACTACTCTATATTGACACAGGTTATGGAACAGTACATTTTAATGTTCAATAATGCATATTGATATAACAGTTAGGTTAATTAAAAAGTTTATCATTAATAAGATTGATAATAGTGAGGTAGTTCAAAACATATAACAGTATTACCATTAGTAAATTTAGTAATAAGAGTGGTTTTATCTCAGCATGATACACTGTTTCAACAAGAGCTCCTATATTGGCAGCAGTGGTGGCTCGTAGCTAAAACTAAAGGAGGTGCTGCTTCAGAAAATTTTAGCCTTGTTTTAACATTGTGTAAAACAAAACAAGCATATAAAAAGAAAATTTATACATAAGCTTTTTGAAATCATAAAAAAAAAAATATTTTTTACTTATCTAAATTGTTACAGTTCAAGCTTGATCCATTCATTTAAAAACTAAATCCATTCTTCTTGTTCTACTTTGCGCAAAAAGATTAATAATTAAATAAAATACCTGGAAGCATGAAAATCATCTAATTCTACACTTTATCACATTCAAGAATTTGGTACATGGTTTTTAAGCACAACACACATTGCTGAGCCAAAAAGAAACACCACTTTACACTTGCACAACAGGGTCGACACTACGTCAGCAACAGTGTTCTCTCTACCTAGCATGCAGCGTCTTATCTCGGACATGTACGCATGCACACAACAGCCAAACACCGAGTCGCTGGAACTGTGAAGCACACAGTTCCACACAAGAATTTTTGTAATTTTTTCATGTACTAGGGGATGGGTACTGACATTAAGCTTAGGGATTATATAATGTATAAGTATAAAGAAAGAATTAAAGAAAAAATGACTCATTATACTTAATGTTATCGATAATATTGAGTGAAAATAAGGGTGCTGCAGTTCTGCAGTGCCTATACACATGCTGCCACTTATTGGCAGAGTATTTCAGACAAACTTAGGACTAACTTAAGATTAATTAGGCAATAACTATTAGGAATTTTATGTTTAGTCATTTGGGTGATAGGTAGTAGGTTAGTAGACAGCAACCATCCAGGGAGATACTAGTGCACTGCCAAGTGAGTGTAAAATGGAAGGCTGTATTTGTTTTACATGATGGTAGGATTACTGGTGTCTTTTTTCTGTCTCATATACATGCAAGATTTCAGGTACGTCTTGCTACTTCTACTTACATTTAGGTCACACTACATTTGCATGTACAAGCATATATATACACACTCCTCTGGGTTTTCCTCTATTTTCTTACTAGTTCTTGTTTATTTCCTCTTATCTCCATGGGGAAGTGGAATAGAGTTCTTCCACCGTAAGCCATGCATGTCATAAGAGGCGACTAAAATGCCAGGAGCAAGGGGCTAGTAACCCCTTCTCCAGTATATATTACTGTGCTAAATTTAAAAGAAGAGGCTTTTGTTTTTCCTTTTGGGCCACCCTACCTTGGTGGGATACGGCCAGTTTGTTGAAAGAAGAAATAATTTGGGAGAGTAAGTGTAAAATAGGGAGAATTACAGTTTAATAAAGTAAGTCTATTTTGTTTTGGGATGTGTTCATGATACAGAAAATAGAATATGAGGTTTTCACATAGCCATTAATGGGGTGTGTTAAGGAGGTAAGGTGTTTTTTAATGGTGGTTTTGAAAATGCTGATTGAGTCTGCAGCTCTAGAGGTTTCAGGCAGGAAGTTCCAGATTTTAGGCCTTTTTATGTATACACTGAGTTTTTGAAGAGATTTATCCAGACACAAGGAATGTTACAGAATTTTTTTTGTCTGGTATTATGTCTATAGTTTGGGAATGTGTGTAAAGGTAGAAAGTTGAAAGTGAACATAGAAAAGAGTAAGGTGATGAGGGTGTCAAATGATTTAGATAAAGAAAAATTGGATATCAAATTGGGGAGGAGGAGTATGGAAGAAGTGAATGTTTTCAGATACTTGGGAGTTGACGTGTCGGCGGATGGATTTATGAAGGATGAGGTTAATCATAGAATTGATGAGGGAAAAAAGGTGAAGTGGTGCGTTGAGGTATATGTGGAGTCAAAAAACGTTATCTATGGAGGCAAAGAAGGGAATGTATGAAAGTATAGTAGTACCAACACTCTTATATGGTGTGAAGCTTGGGTGGTAAATGCAGCAGCGAGGAGACGGTTGGGGGCAGCGGAGATGTCCTGTTTAAAGGGGCAATGTGTGGTGTAAATATTATGCAGAAAATTCGGAGTGTGGAAATTAGGAGAAGGTGTGGAGTTAATAAAAGTATTAGTCAGAGGGCAGAAGAGGGGTTGTTGAGGTGGTTTGGTCATTTAGAGAGAATGGATCACAGTAGAATGACATGGAAAGCATTTAAATCTATAGGGAAGGAAGGCGGGGTAGGGGTCGTCCTCGAAAGGGTTGGAGAGAGGGGGTAAAGGAGGTTTTGTGGGTAAGGGGCTTGGACTTCCAGCAAGCGTGCGTGAGCGTGTTAGATAGGAGTGAATGGAGACGAATGGTACTTGGGACCTGACGATCTGTTGGAGTGTGAGCAGGGTAATATTTAGTGAAGGGATTCAGGGAAACCGGTTATTTTCATATAGTCGGACTTGAGTCATGGAAATGGGAAGTACAATGCCTGCACTTTAAAGGAGGGGTTTGGGATATTGGCAGTTTGGAGGGATATGTTGTGTATCTTTATATGTTTATGCTTCTAGACTGTTGTATTCTGAGCACCTCTGCAAAAACAGTGATAATGTGCGAGTGTGGTGAAAGTGTTGAATGATGATGAAAGTATTTTCTTTTTGGGGATTTTCTTTCTTTTTTGGGTCACCCTGCCTCGGTGGGAGACGGCCGACTTGTTGAAAAAAAAAAAAAAAAAAAAAAAAAATTATGTCTATGGGTCCTGTTGCAACTATCAAGAAAGTGTTTAGTTCAGGATTAATATTAGAATTTATGGTTTTGTAAATTTTAGGTTGCACAGTAGTAGGTGTGAGTATTTTGTACAGTAAGTAGATTTATGTCTTTGAAGAATGGGGAGTATGTTGTCTAGCAGTGGTTTGTGTGATAATTGTTTCTGCAACTTTTTGTTGGGTTATTATGGGCTTTAGGTGGGTTGCTGCTGTTGATCCCCAGGCACAAATTACCATAGGTGAGGTAGGGATAGATGAGTGAATAGTATAGTGTGAGTAGGGCTGATTGTGGTACATAATAATGTATCCTTGAGAGGATCCCAACTGTTCTGGATACTTTTTTTTCTTATGTGTTGGACATGAATGCTGAATTTCATGCTGCTGTCAAGGTGCAGACCCAGAAATTTGCTCTCATTACATTTAGCAAAAAGTGTTGTCAATCAAAATGTTCAGATGGGCATCACCCATTCTGCTCCCAAACATAATGTAGAAGGCTTTTGTCAATATTAACTGTAAGTTTATTGGCAGTCATCCAGGTCATTTTTTTACTAGCTCTTCATAAACAATAGTGTTGAGTGAGGCAAGATTAGGGTGGTAGATGACATAAGTCGTGTCATCAGTAAAGAGAACAGGCCTAAGTTGTTGTGATATATTTGGAAGATTGTTGATGTACAAGAGGAACAGCAGGGAGCTAAGGACACTTCCCTGTGGTACTCCAGTATCCAGTGGTTTTGCTGATGAGATTGTCCTTAACAGAGGCATATTGATGTTTATTATTAAAGTAGGATTTGATATATGTAAGTGCATGGCCTCTTATACTGTAATGGTCAAGTTTGTGGAGTAGGATGCTGTGGTATACTGTATCAAAAACTTGACTCAATTACCAGTTAAAAAGAATTAAACTTAACTCAAATACCAGTGAACTAACTTTTAATTTCCCTATTGAGGGGTATGATAAACAATGTGAGGCTGAAATCAGTTTTGTGTCCTTTATTACTGAGTGAGGCTTCACATTCATACAACTCTCTGATCCAGTTTTTGAAGAAGAAGCCAGTCTCTTGTGTGTTGAGTCCTTCCAGAGATGTTTCAAGACCAAACACTGCAAGCTCTCCTTCACTAACAGTGGCCTGAAGGCTTATCTGTGTTGGGGACCACACAAAGACTTCTTGAGCCCTGAAAATTTAATTTAACTAGAAATCAGATCTTGATCACTTCTACCTCATTGTAAAAAATCTGACTGGGTTTATAAAATCTTTTACTTTCTTTAGAAATTTATTACAAGCAATGTTATAAAGCTTTCCCTAATGACGCTCATTCTTAAACCTAATAAAATAAAATTATTTAAATCCCTTTACACTCTGACTTACAATATTTTCCAAGTCTGAAGTCCATCACGAACAAGAATGTCATAAGAAAATTCGAAGATAACTGTATTATTCATGGTGCTCTTAAAATATCTTGAAAATGAAGTGTAAATTCTTCCAGATGGCATAATGGTGGTACTCTGACGATCATGTCACCACCTTCATTCTGTTGTAGTGTGTCCACATAACTAAAATGCCATGCTGGAAGGGAGATCTGTAATAATAAAATAAATTTCAGTATTCTGAGCACTCCAAACTACACTGGTGGATATAACAAAACAATTGAGAATTTTAACTTTACAAAGTAGCAGTATCAAGACTGTACACACCTTCCATAAATAATTATTGAAGAGTGGAAGAGATGTTAAGGAAAACAACTGGGGGTATTTTGAAATGTAGAGAAAACATCAGCTATGAAGTGTAGCAAGGTAGGCCATTAATATGAAAATGTTTGAAACACAGTTTTGCTGGTTCAAACTAATTTATAACATGTAAACTGTTGGCAGCTCCCAAGTTGAAAGCCCTTTTTCTAAATGTAATGATGCCAAAAGTTTAAAATTTAATGTAATATGTAAGGAATTATACAGGTACAAAGTTGATACAGGTCTGCCATCACAAATCCAGCAATCAGTTATTCGGCACTAATTTTGGCTAGCATAATTTCAAATTTCCAGGGTCGTCACACCAACCTGCTGGCACTGTTTGGTGGCGCTACTTGCTGCATAAGTCATTCCAATTTCTTTTTCTCCATTTATTGTTTTAACCTGCTTACTTTTAGCCCTAGCCATGGTTCCAATGAATAAAAGAAATGCTTCTCATTATGTAAAGCACCTACACAGTACATTATCCATTAAAGATAAGGTGGCTTTGAAGCCACTGTCGGTTGCCATGAGATGAGTCTCATGACGCAGGAGAATATGCTTTATTATTATGCTAATATCAACACTACAGCTTATTTGCCTATCACAATTGATCTAATATAACATAAGAAACAATATAAATAACATAAAACAAGTTAAACACTCCAGAATAAATAATATTTGGCATAATACAGAGCAGTTCGACGGAGGTATGAAGAGAATATGGTATACAAATACCATTCTCCTATCCCTGTCTTGGTGGCTTTTATTAGAGAAAACGGAGTGTAGCACAGGACTAACTGTGATGTACACTCGTACTGCACCATAAACATGAAGCAAAAAAGTTATTTTCTCTCTATAGATTATCACACATAGCAGCATATGTGTAGAGAACCTAGGATAACCCAAAAAAAGTCAACCTGGCTCATTTTTAGTACCTGGCTTGGGTTAGCCATATATGATTTTTGGTAAATATTCGATTCCCAGCCAGGGTAGAAACATTAGGTGTGTTTCTTTACACCTGTTGTCTATGTTTACCCATCAGTAAATGGGTACGGTACCTGGGTGTTAGCCGACTAGTGTGGGTGTTATCCTGGGACACTGACCTAATTTTCTTGAAATACTCTGCATAACAAGCGGCTTTCTATATAGTAGTATGTCACTGATGTCAGCTAGGCCTGTATACCTTGTACATGTATGTTTTTTTTTTTTTTTTTCAACAAGTCGGTACATGTATGTGTAGTAAATAAAGATATTATTATTATTATTATTATTATTATTATATTATTTTCTCAGTTGTTTGTTGGGTTATCTTATTCAAACTTGGGCAATGTATGATGGAAAGATACTTCTTCACGTACACAAAAAATGAAAGAAATCAAACCATAAATAGCGGAGTTCACTTCTCAGCCATTAGCGGCCGCTTAGCGGTATATTTTTGTATGGTTGTTATGGTTATATTCCCATTTTTTCAGTCTCATTTGATAGAATGAAAGATATATTACAGAAATAGATATGATTTTGATTGCTTTCATGACGAAAAGTACCTCGAAATTGCGCTCACAGTAGCGAAAATGTTCTATTCTTGAGTACGGACTCAAGAATGGGTTGACGTTATTTATACAATTATTACAATAATGCAGCAGTCTGCATAACAGTAAATCTTCTATTTTTTTGTGAATAAAACTTCCAAATGAAAAGCAAGAGTAATATAAGAGGGGCATGTTGCCATGACTAATGAACAGAGAAAATGTTATTTTAGTGCCAGGAATGTCTGCACTGTTTATTCTGGATCCTATTTTGAAATTGGCATCTGTTGAAATTTGTGTGAAATCAGCCAAATTGCCAATTTCTGACCACTTTATTGGGTAGTTGAAATAAGTGAATGGGTGGTTTCTTGTACTCAGTTGACAGACTAGAAGTAAATAAGTTTATTCAGGTATACACAAATACAGTTACATACATAGCAGCGTATGTGTAGAGAACCTAGGATAACCCAGTAAAGTCAGACATTGACTTATTTCCAGTACCTGGCTTGGGCTTGCCATATATGATTTTTGGTAAATATTTTTTTTCTCGGTTGTTTGTAGGGCTATCTCATTGAAATTTAGGCAATGTATGATGGAAAGATGCTTCTTAACGTACAACAAAAATAAAAAAGATGGACGATAAATAAGGGAGTTAACTTCTCAGCTATTAGCCGCCTCTTTGCAGTATATTTTCACATGGTTTTTATTATTGTATTCTCATTTTTTGGCCTCATTTGATAGAATGGAAGATATATTACAGAAATAGACATGATTTTGATTGCTTTCATGACGAAAAGTACCTTGAAATTGAGCTCAAAGTAGCGGAAATGTTCGATTTCTGCCGATGTTCAATTAACTGTGAAAGCCAAGTTGGTTAATTTTATTAAGTGTATTCTAACCTAACCACTCTGTAATTCGGCAAACTCAGTAATCCGGCACACTACAGGTCCCAATGATGCCGGATTTGTGATGGAAGACCTGTAGCGGGAAAGCACTTTCCACAACAGCGATTTTGCCCACTTTGAGGACTATTCCAGTGCTCAAACAGATCCAATTCTTGGCTATTTCACTAGTATACCTTCTGAAATAGTTTGTTTTTATTAATACATTGGCCATATTATATTTTATGAGAAAGAGGATAAATAAATATACAAGGTATGATGTAGCACGTAATGAAAGTAGTTTGTTAGATTATGTATTGGTGGATAAAAGGTTGATGGGTAGGCTCCAGGATGTACATGTTTATAGAGGGGCAACTGATATATCAGATCATTATTTAGTTGTAGCTACAGTTAGAGTAAGAGGTAGATGGGAAAAGAGGAAGGTGGCAACAACAAGTAAGAGGGAGGTGAAAGTGTATAAACTAAGGGAGGAGGAAATTCGGGCGAGATATAAGCGACTATTGGCAGAAAGGTGGGCTAGTGCAAAGATGAGTAGTGGGGGGGTTGAAGAGGGTTGGAATAGTTTTAAAAATGCAGTATTAGAATGTGGGGCAGAAGTTTGTGGTTATAGGAGGGTGGGGACAGGAGGAAAGAGGAGTGATTGGTGGAATGATGAAGTAAAGGGTGTGATAAAAGAGAAAAAGGTAGCTTATGAGAGGTTTTTACAAAGCAGAAGTGTTATAAGAAGAGCAGAGTATATGGAGAGTAAAAGAAAGGTGAAGAGAGTGGTGAGAGAGTGCAAAAGGAGAGCAGATGAAAGAGTGGGAGAGGCACTGTCAAGAAATTTTAATGAAAATAAGAAAAAATTTTGGAGTGAGTTAAGCAAGTTAAGAAAGCCTAGGAAAGTATGGATTTGTCCATTAAAAACAGAGTAGGGGAGTTAGTAGATGGGGAGAAGGGAGGTATTAGGTAGATGGCGAGAATATTTTGAGGAACTTTTAAATGTTGAGGGAAAAAAGGGAGGCGGTAATTTCATGCACTGGCCAGGGAGGTATACCATCTTTTAGGAGTGAAGAAGAGCAGAATGTAAGTGTGGTGGAGGTACATGAGGCATTACGTAGAATGAAAGGGGGTAAAGCAGCTGGAAAATGATGGGATCATGACAGAAATGTTAAAAGCAGGGGGGGATATAGTGTTTTGGGGTGGTTGGTACTTTTGTTTAATAAATGTATGAAAGAGAGGAAGGTACCTAGGGATTAACGGAGAGCATGTATAGTCCCTTTATATAAAGGGAAAGGGGACAAAAGAGATTGTAAAAATTATAGAGGAATAAGTTTACTGAGTATACCAGGAAAAGTATACGGTAGGGTTATAATTGAAAGAATTAGAGGTAAGACAGAATGTAGAATTGCGGATGAGCAAGGAGGCTTCAGAGTGGGTAGGGGATGTGTAGATCAAGTGTTTACATTGAAACATATATGTGAACAGTATTTAGATAAAGGTAGGGAAGTTTTTATTGCATTTATGGATTTAGAAAAGGCATATGATAGAGTGGATAGAGGAGCAATGTGGCAGATGTTGCAAGTTTATGGAATAGGTGGTAAGTTACTAAATGCTGTAAAGAGCTTTTATGAGGATAGTGAGGCTCAGGTTAGGGTGTGTAGAAGAGAGGGAGAATACTTCCCATAAAAGTCTAGGTCTTAGACAGGGATGTGTATTGTCACCATGGGTTTGTTTAATATATTCACTATAATAGATTGGGGGTTGTAAAAGAAAGTAAATGCTAGGGTGTTTGGGAGAGGGGTAATAAATTATGAGGGAATCCAAATTCAAAATGGGAATTGAACACAGTTACATTTTGCTGATGATACTGTGCTTATGGGAGATATTCTAAAGAAAAATTGCAAAGAGTTAGTGGATGATTATGAAAACGTGTGTAAAGGTAGAAAGTTGAAAGTGAACATAGAAAAGAGTAAGGTGATTTTTTTTTTTGGTTTTTTTTTCACAACAAGTCGGTCCGTCTCCCACCGAGGCAGGGTGACCAAAAAAAGAAAGAAAATCCCCAAAAGAAAATACTTATCATCATCATTCACACTTTCCCCACACTCGCACATAACACTCTAGCTTTGCACAGGGCTCAGAATCAACAGTCTAGAAGCATACACATATAAAGATAACACAACAATATACCCTCCAAATTGCCAATAACCCAAAACCCCTCCTTTAAAGTGCAGCATTGGTAACATCCCAATTCCATGACTCAGTTCCGTCTATATGAAAATAACCGGTTTCCCAGAATCCCGTTCACCTAAATATTAACCCTGCTCACACTCCAACAGATCCGTCAAAGTCCCCAAAGTAACCATTCGTCTCCCATTCACTCTATCTAAACCAGCCGATGCACGCTTGCTGGAATCCCAAGCCCCTTACGCCACAAAACCCTCC